GGATTCAACCCCATCGGTCCAGCACCAAGTGATTCTGTTGCTCTTCCATGCTCTCCAGATCCATCTTTCCAAGGCAAAGGCAGCCTTAAGCTTCTCTTTCCCTGGACACTCTTTGAGCACTGGCCTGCTGTCTAAGTGTGTGTGTGTTGTGTGTTGTGCTGCTTTTGTGGTATTTGTGTTGCTTTCTGGATGCAAAGAGGGGCAAGAGCCCACCTCTTTGGGAGTCACAGCAAGTGATGTTCAGAGGCAGATTAAAAAAGAAAAAGAAGACTGAGAAGGCTCTGTCTCACAGGACTGACCTTCTACACCTTCCATAACTTATACCGCAATGGCCCTGCTGTCTAGGACATAGGGGCAAGATCCCAACTCTTTGGAAGTCACAGCAAGTGGCTGAGCATAAAGCTGAGAGTTGTGGAGCTTCTCAGAGAAGAAGCATGTGAGAAGAAGGCCTTACCTGGAGCCAGCAGCATCAAGAAGAGGACGGCAACAGAGAGGAGGCAAAAGATCTTCATGGCTGGAGGTTGGTGGGAATCCTGGAGGTACCAGAAGCCAAGTGGAAGAGCAATTGCCAGGGAAAGGATAGGTCCCCCTGCTTATAGTTGGCTGGAGGACTGATGAAATCTTGTGGGATGCCAACCGTTGTTTGCAGGATGGATGTGGCAAGCCGTGAGGGGCATGTGCCAAGGAGCAGCCAAAGACCACAGAATCATAGGTTCACAGAAGGGACACCAAGGATCACCTAATCCAACCCCTGCAGTGCAGGCATCAAAGCTATAGCATCCCTGACAGGTGTCCATCAAACCTCTGCTGAAAATCTCCCTGCAAAGGAGAATAAGGCACCTTCTGAAGGGCTGCCTTCCACTGCTGAACAACTCAGAAAGTGAATCTTTGTGTCTTGCTCTCTGCTCACAGTGGCATGGCATCTTTTGATGTCCCCGGGGATGGGGTTGCTCTGCAGGCGGAGACCAGGGACTGGGTACAGAGGGTATAGCCCAATTCTAGACTCCATCATTGCTGGGCAGGCATGGGGCACCGAGGGTTCACAGGGCTGTGCTACCTCCTCACCTGCCCTCCTCACCTGCAGCTGAGGTACAAAATGTTTTTTGGATAAATAGTCCAGGCCTGATGGAGATGTTCTCATGCAGTCCATGCCCAAGAGCCAGGTAATCTCCCAGCACCACACCTGCTTGAGGGCCCAACTAGAAGGGCCTTTGGCCTCACCCAGCTGCAGGGCTCTTCTCAGGATCAGTCCTGCAGATAAATTTCTTGTGCCAACATTTCCGCTTGGGCTTGCTCACCCCCCTCTCCAACTCAACAGGTGGTCCCCAACTTCACAAACTGAGTTCTGCATCCTCTCCTCTCCCTAGGCACCACCAAAAACTGATCTAGAGGCTATTATCCCACATTGCCCAATACATTGGAAAGGATTTTGAGGATGCAATGGGGTGGGGTCTGCAGGGGAGAAGAGCTGGGATTACCATCCACAACTGGAAGTCTGTGGCCTTGGATACAACCCCATCAGTGCCGCAGGAAACAATTCTGTTGCCCTTCCTTGCACTTGAACATTCTCCAGATTCATCTTTCCAAGGGAAAGGCAGCCTTAACCTTCTCGTTTCCTGGACAGTCTTTGAGTACTGTCCTGCTGTCTATTTGTGAGTGTGTGTTTGGGTGTTGTGCTGCTTTTGTAGTATTTGTGTTGCTTGCTTGATGCATCATTTTAATATTTCTGGCTAACACTGGTTTAAAATTCTGTGCATTGTTGTAAATATATGGGGGGAATTACAAAAAGTGGGCACCCAAAGTGAGGACAAGGCTTTTCTATTTAATTTTGGAGAAAGGGGAGAAGTATCAGTGCCAGTCGTGAGCTGTTGGTGTGGGCTGTGCCTGTAACATTTAGCAGGCAGTTGCTGGTGTTTTGCAATCTCCACAGAGATGGGCCCCATGAAGCAACTTCCAGATGCAGCCCAGTGAACTTGGGAATGAGCCCAGATCAGAAGGCGATATTGGGGGACAGTGCATGGGATTGGGGAGCAGCAAGGTCAAAGACATCCCTTTCCATGCTTCCGAACTCTTCCTTCCCTGCCACACAGGACAGAGATCAACATGCTGGAGCAACCCAGTATAAATAATATAATGATGATGATGATGATGATGGAACAAGACATCCCACTTTTCACTGGAGAAATGTTGGGGGGTATGCATGCCTTGCCTAGAAGCCTCAGGGAAACCTTGCTGTGTGTTCCACGCTGCCCCCACTCATCGCCTTCCTTCCCCTCAGATCAGCTTCCCACCCTCCCTGTTTCTATCTTCCCTGCCACGCTGGACAGAGATCAACAGGTGGGTCAGCCCACTCATGAGGCAAGGGGCAGTGCCCACCTCGGGTGGCAGGATCCACAGGGGCATCAGTTTCAGCCCCCAAGAAATGCATCTTGGCGGCTTGGATGCGTTGCTGATATCCTCCCCTTGATCCTAATGTAGTTTTCAACTTACCCCTTCTTCCCTGGGTGGGGGCTGGAAAGCACCATTTTGTGGTTTGCCTCAGAGGCTCAAATGTCTTGGGCTGGTCCTGTCCACACCCTCCAAGTGTCCCCATCTTCAAGGGACAGTCCTGGATTTAAAGAAGCTGTCCAAGTTGAACTGACTCGATATAAGAATGTCACACTTTTCCTAACGGCGTCCCCGTTTCCATCAGAGAAATTTTGGAGGGTGTGGAGTTATGTGACCCCTGAGCCATCAGAAGGCAGTCCTGTATAGGATGGTTCTTTATTGTTTAATGTGTTGTGATGTTTTTGTATATATATTTGAGCCACACAGAGTGGCAGGGGAAACCCAGTCAGATGGGTGGAGTATGATGATGATGATGATGATGATGATTACTAGTACTACTACTACTATTGAATAGAATGTCCCTATTTTCATTGGAGAAATGTTGTAGTGTATGTCCCCAAACTTTTTCAGCTCTGCTCAATTCCTGTTTCTGAAACATCCTTCTCTGTGCAGCTGCCCAAGGAAGCAGGTCAGTTGGAGGGGAGAGAGAGAGAAAGGGGCAGGAGGAGGGACAGGGAGACCCCTGGGAGAGGTGGGGGCCTACAATGCGAGAAATGCCCTTGTGCAAAGCCATGTTTGGAAAAGAACCACAAAGCCTGGATGGCATCACCGAATGTAAGAGAGAGAGAGAGAGAGAGAGAGAGAGAGAGAGAGAGAGAGAGAGAGAGAGAGAGAGAGAGAAAGGGTCTAAGAGCCTGATAAAAAAAAGTACCCACAACCCAGCAAACGTTTTCACAACATGAACCAACAGAGAGGTTTCCAATGCTTGCATTTATTAAAAAGGAAAAGCTAAAGCATTTTTGCAGGCAAACCAAATCCAAGCTCTAATCCTGAGGCCACTTACTAAGGACACAGGCCTCCTTGTTCACAGTGGCCTCCTTGTTCACAGTGTGACTTTCTCATGAGTAGGGAGGCAGACAGGATGGCTCCCTCTTGACTCCTTCCCAGCATCGCCTTCAGCAGCATTAAGCAAAGCGGTTTCTTCCCCAGCAGAGATGGGGGTGCAGTCGAGGCAGCTGCACATCAGAGGAGAGCAGGGTGGTCTTCCTTTCACCAGAGGTCTTGCGCCGGAGATCTGCAGGGTTACCAGCCCCCTGTGAGAAGAGGAAACACTGTTAATATGGGTGCTGGTGGTGGTTCTGAAAACCCAGACCAGTGACTCCAACTGGGAGGCAGAAGAGCTGCTGTTGTCAGAGTTCCAACTGCACACAGAGGGTCTGTCTTGATGAGGGTTGGACTAGATGACCCCTTAGGTCCCTCCCAGCACTACATTTCTATTCTATGATAGTAGGAAAGACCTCTGAGCATTTCCTGTATGCACTCGGGTGAACTTGAGCAGGGCCCGGCTGCCATACACACTTTTTTTTTAAATGAGGTACTTTTTCCTTCGTCTTCCTTATGTGAACAGCAACCCCAGGAGAGGACACCTTTGAGGAGATCATTGTGTTGGTGTGCATTGAACTCTTTCCCTTCCAACTCTGCAATTCTGTGATTCAATAACCACCTTCACAGGGACGTTTCACACAGGTTGCCTTTGCTATTTGAGGAGGGTCAGCGACTGAGCCCCCACCCCCTCATGCCACAAAAAGCTGTTCTTTGAGCCAAGGGAATCATTCCTTACCAGGCTTAAGGGGAGTTGTGGCTGAGGGGTCAGAGAGCTTTCATGGAGGCAGCAACGGGAGAGGAGAGCGTTTTCAACCCCCTGTGCACATTAATATTGTTCCCCCTCACAGTGCTTGTAAAGATTAAGAGAGAAGTGGAGTAGGGGGAAAACAGAGAGATGTGTCACATGCATTTGGGGTCATGATACACCGCTGACAAATTTTCGAGGAAAACTAAGATTTTATTTAACTCACCTCTACGGCAACACACCCCGGGAGGACAGAGGAATAATGGCCGTTCGGACGGATGGCACCTTAATCGCAGTATCCCTCTCAGCCTTTGACATCTCGTCCTGCAATTACCTTGGGCTCTGGTGAAATCTGGAGGAAGAAAAAGAAAACACTGAAGGCTCTGTCTCTCAGGACTGACCTTCTACACCTTCCACACCTTCTTCCACAATGGCCCTGCTGGCTTGGGCACCCAGAGGGCACCAGGTTGGGGAAATCTGGTGCAGGAAGAATGCAGGGCTGGAGCGGAGAGCCAGTCCCTTCTGCTGCCTCCCTGCACCTCCAGGACAGGGTCTGAGCCAAGGTGCGTCAGAGTCACTGGCTTCCCTGGGCGGCCACTGGCAAACTGGGAGAGAGAAGCTCCCTTGCCCAGGAAACTGACCCGTTCTTTTGTTCACTGCGATGCTGAGTTTACTGAAGTGCATTGTTGCAGATTTGAAAGGAAGAGCTTCCGTGGATCATATAAACGAGGTAATAAGAAGAGACTGGCTGGTGGATCTGGTTAAAGGGGATGAATCGAGTCCAGCACCCTCCTCTCCCAGGGTCCACCTGAAGTCCCATTTGGGAAACTCTCCAGGAGGACAGAGGGGCAAGATCCCACCTCTTTGGGAGTCACAACAAGTGGCTGAGAATAAAGCTGAGAACTGTGGGGCTGCTCAGAGAAGACGCATCTGAGAAGAAGGCCATACCTGGAGCCAGCAGCATCAAGAAGAGGACGGCAACAGAGAGGAGACAGAAGATCTTCATGGCTGGAGGTTGGTGGGAATCCTGGAGGTACCAGAAGCCAAGTGGAAGAGCAGTTGCCAGGGGAAGGAAAGCTCCCTCTACTTATAGGTGGCTGGAGGACTGATGAAATCTTGTGGGACGCCAACCGTCGTTTGCAAGATGGATGTGGCAAGCTCTGAGGGGCATGTGCCAAGGAGCAGCCAAAGACCACAGAATCATAGGTTCATCAAGTCCAACCCCATCACAGCTATAGCATCCCTGACAGGTCCCCATCCAACCTCTGCTTAAATCGTCCTGCAAAGGAGAACCAGGCACCTTCTGAAGGCCTCCGTTCCACCATTGTACAACTCAGAAAGTGAATCTTTTGGCTTGTGTTTTGCTCTCTGCTCACAGTGCATGGCATCTTTTGATTTCCCCTGGGGGTGGGTGCTCTGCAGGTGGGACCATGGCCTGGGAGCAGAGGGTGAACAAAACACTTCACTCTAGGCCACCTCTAGACTCCATCACTGCTAGGCAGGCATGGGACAACGAGGGATCACAGGGCCGTGCTGTGCTCCCTCCTCACCTGCACACACCAAGGGGGGAGCCTGCCTGGCCATGGCTGCTCGTGGCAGGTGTAACCCCCCCAGCACTGGCTGGGCAGCCATTCAGCATGGGTCCAGGGTCCTGGCAGCAAGCCTCCCCCCCCCATTTTTGCATGCTGTTTTCACCCATATGGATACATATTACACCACTTTATGAGTTTTGGTGCACATTACTTGATTGAACTGCCTTGTGGAATTCATGGAAGGAGAACACTTGGAAGGACCGCTCTGTTCCCAATCATGCATAGTTGCAGAAAGTACATGCAGCTGAGGTACAAAACATTTTTTGGGGAAATAGTCCAGCTCTGACAGAGGTGTTCGCATGCAGTCCATGCCCAAGAGCCAGGTAAACTCCCAACACCACACCTGCTTGGGGGCTCAACAAGAAGGGCCTTTGGCCTCACCCAGCTGCAGGGCTCTTCTCAGGCTCAGTCCTGCAGATCCATATGGAAACATTTCCTCTTGAGCTTGCTCACCACCCTCTCCAACTCAACAGGTTGTCCCCAACTTCACCAACTGATTCCTGCATCCTCTCCATGGGCACCATGCAAAGCTGATCTGGAGGCTATTATCTCACCTTGCCCAACTTTGGAAAGGATTTTGAGGATGCAATGGGTCTGCAGGGGAGAAGAGCTGGGATTCCCATCCACAAGTGGAAGTCTGTGGCCTTGGATACAACCCTATCGGTCCAGCACCAAATGATTCTGTTGCTCTTCCATGCTCTCCAGATTGATCTTTTCAAGGCAAAGGCAGCCTTAAGCTTCTCTTTCCCTGGACACTCTTTGTGCACTGCCCTGCTATCTATGTGTGTGTGTGTATGTCTGTGTGTGTGTGTGTGTGTGTGTGTGTGTGTGTGTGTTGTGCTGCTTTTATGGTATTTGTGTTGCTTTCTAGGTGCTTTGGTTCAACAGTTCTGGCTGACACAGGGTTAAAATTCTGTGCACTGTTGTGAATATATGGGGGAAACTACAAAAAGTGGGCACCCAAAGTGAGGACAAGGCTTTTATATTTAATTTTGAAGAAAGGAGAGAAGTATCAGTGCCAGTTGTGAGCTGTTGGTGTGGGCTGTGCCTGTAACATTTAGCAGGCAGTTGCTGGTCTTTTGCCATCTCCACAGAGATGGGGCCCATGAGATGTCTTCAGCCTCCTTTCCCAAGAGCCTGAAGTTCAAACCCAGCAGGCAAGGTGGGGAACCTGTGGTCACATGGCTAAGTCCCCTTTCCCCACCTGGTCTTGCTTCAAGTTAACGGACAAGCGTTGCTCCATCGGATGCCCACAGGCAGCGAAGTTGGGTGAAGCAACTGCCGGATTCAGCACAGTGAACTTGGGAATTAGCACAGATCAGAAGCTGATATCGGGGGACAGTGCATGGGATTGGGGAGCAGCCATGCCACAGAGATCTCTTTCCATGTAAACAGATTCAGGGATGAAGAAAAGGGGCAAAAAAGCACTTTTCAGGTTCCTTGAAACTATTGTTACGCAGCAGCCAAATCTCTGAGTTGGGGAAAAATCCACGCACTTCTGTGCTTGCCCAGAATTCGGTTTCCTTGGAATGAAGGTTAGCGGAGGCTGTGCTGTCGTTTGAATATCCTGTGTTATCTACACATATAGACAGCCTGAGCATAAAATGCATGGCTTCAAAGCATTAACACACACCCCCTTCAAAAAAATCCTCCGTCTCAGTCAGAGCTTTGGATTTGGTACGCAGCAAATCCATCTCTGTGCCTCTAGCTTCCAACCTGCTTCCTGCAAAACTCTCAAACTGGCTCAGGACCTCTTTACCTTTTGCTTTGCAGGTGGTTTTGCTTTGCAGGTGGTCCCCTCAACATTGGGAAGTCCCCATTTTGGCTCCCAGGAAAAGGAGGAAGGGGACAACAAGGAGAAATTTTAAATTTTATTTTGGAGAGGGGAGAGAAGGATTGGTGCTTGCTGTGAGATGTTGGTCTGAGCTGTGTCCTGCCCAGTGATATTTCGGAGGCAGTTGCTGGTCTTTTGCAATCTCCACAGAGATGGGCCCCAGGAGATGTCTTCGGCATCCTTTCCATTATTATTATTATTATTATTATTATTATTATTATTATTATTATCACTACCAGCCCATGAACTATCTCACCAGAGTGGTGTATGCTCTGGTTATCTCCTGCTTGGACTACTGCAATGCGCTCTGCGTGGGGCTACCTTTGAAGGTGACCTGGAAACTACAACTAATACAGAATGTGACAGCTATACTGGTGACTGGGAGTGGCAGTTGAGATATAACACCAGTCAGGACGTTTCCGAGCAAAATTCAAAGTGTTGATGCTGACCTTTAAAGCCCTAAATTGCCTCAGCCCAGTATACTTGAAGGAGCATCTCCATCCCCATTGTTCAGCCCGGACACCGGAGTCCACCTCCGAAGGTCTTCTGGCAGTTCCCTCCCTGCGAGAACTAAGGTTACAGAAAACCAGGTAGAGGGCCTTCTGGGTAGTGGCCCCTTCCCTGTGGAACACCCTCCCATCAGATGTCAAAGAAATGAACAATTACAGTGGTACCTCGGGTTACATACTCTTCAGGTTACAGACTCCGCTAACCCAGAAATAGTACCTCGGGTTAAGAACTTTGCTTCAGGATGAGAACAGAAATCGTGCTCCAGCGGCACGGCAGCAGCAGGAGGCCCCATTAGCTAAAGTGGTGCTTCAGGTTAAGAACAGTTTCAGGTTAAGAAATGGACCTCCAGAACGAATTAAGTTCTGAACCCAAGGTACCACTGTATTTGATTTTTTATAATATTTGATTTTTGATGATGATGATGATGATAATAATAATAATAATAATAATAATAATAATAATAATAATAATAATAATAATATTTTTTGGGGGGACACAGGGGCATGAATACCCCTGAACATTTTGTAAATCTAAGTTTGGCCTCACTGAGGGGCAGTATTTCAATATGAGTAGGAAAATGAGAGTACTGTACCCCTAAACATTATTTTAGAAAAATACACTGAATAATAATAATAATAATAATAATAATAATACGCTCTGATCCATTCCTGTTTGTGAAACATCCTTCTCTGTGCAGCTGCCCAAGGAAGCAGGTCAGTTGGAGGGGAGACAGAGAAAGGGGCAGGAGGAGGGGCAGGGAGACCCCTGGGAGAGGTGGGGGCCTACAATGTGAGAAATGTCCTTGTGCAAAGCCATGTTTGGAAAAGAACCACAAAGCCCGGATGGCATCACCGAATGGAAGAGAGAGAGAGAGAGAGAGAGAGAGAGAGAGAGAGAGAGGGAGAGAAAGGGTCTGAGAGCCTGACCAAAAAAGTCCCCTCAACCCAGCACACGTTTTCACACCATGAACCAACACAAAGTTTTCCAATGCTTGCATTTATTAAAAAGAAGAAGCTAAAGCATTTTTGCAGGCAAACCAAATCCAAGCTCCAATCCCGAGCCCGAGCCCACTTATTAAGGAGTCAGGCCCCACTGGACACAGTGGGGCTTACTCATGAGTAGACAGGCAGACAGGACGGCTCCCTCCTGACTCCTTCCCAGCATCGCCTTCAGCAGCATGAAGCAAAGCGGTTTCTTCCCCAGCAGAGATGGGGGTGCAGTCGAGGCAGCTGCACATCAGAGGAGAGCAGGGTGGTCTTCCTTTCACCAGAGGTCCTCTACCGGAGATCTGCAGAGTTAGTATCCTGCGAGAGAAAACACTCTTAAAACAGGTGTTGGTGGTGGTTCTGAAAACCCAAACCAGTGACTCCAACTGTTGTCACAGTTCCAACTGCACACAGAGGGTCTGTTTTGCAGAGGGTTGGACTATATGACCCCTTAGGTCCCTCCCAATGCTACATTTCTATTCTATGATTGTAGGAGAGACCTCTGGGCATTTCTTGTATGCACTTGGGTGGATTTGAGCGGGGCTTGGCTGCCATACACCCTTTTTTTCTAATGTGGTTCTTTCTCCTTCTTTATGCGAACAGCAACCCCAGGAGAGGACACATTTGAGGAGATCATTCTGTTGGTGTGCATTGAACTCTTTCCCTTCCAACTCTACAATTCTGTGATTCAGTAACCACCTTCACAGGGATGTTTCACACAGGTTGCCTTTGCTATTTGAGGAGGGTCAGCAACTGAGCCCCCACCCCCTCATGCCATGAAGAGCTGTTCTTTCAGCCAAGGGAGGCTAAGGGGAGTTGTGGCTGAGGGGCCAGAGAACTTTCATGGGGGCAGCAATGGGATCGGAAAGGGTTGTCACAACCCCCAGTGTGCACACTAATATTGTTCCAACTCACAGCGGATGTAAAGATTAAGAGAGAAGTGGAGTAGGGGGGGCAGAGAGATGCATCACATGCATTTGGAGTCATGAAACACAATTAATTTTTGAGGAAAACTAAGATTTGACTTAACTCACCTCTGCGGCAACACCATTGGCGACCACACCGAAAAAGTGTGTTTTGGGGCGGCCGGCACCTACGAAATTGCAGTATCCCTCCCTGCCTTTGACATCTTGGCCTGCAATTACCTTGGGCTCTGGTGAAATCTGGAGGAAGAATAAGAAGACATTGAAGGCTCTGTCTCCCAGGACTGTCCTTCCACAACTTCTTCCACCATGGCCCTGCTGGCTTGGACAACCAGAGGGCACCAGGTTGGGGAATGCTGGTGCAGTAAGAATGCAGGGCTGGATCAGAGAGCCAGTCCCTTCTGCTGCCTCCTTCACCTTCAGGACAGAGTCTGAGCCAAGGTGGTAGGGAAGGCTGCGTCAGAGTCACTGGCTTCACTGGGTGGCCACTGGCAAACTGGGAGAGAGAAGCCCCCTTGCCTAGGAAACTGGCCCGTTCTTTTACCCACCGCAAAGCTGAGTTTACTGAAGCGCATTATTACAGATTTGAAAGCAAGAGCTTCCGTGGATCACATGAATGAGGTAATAAGAAGAGACTGGCTGGTGGATCTGGCCAAAGGTGGCCCATCGAGTCCAGCATCCTCTTCTCCCAGGGTCCAACCTGAAGCGCCATTTGGGAAACTCTCCAGGAGGACAGAGGGGCAAGATCCCACCTCTTTGGGAGTCACAACAAGTGGCTGAGAATAAAGCTGAGAGCTGTGGAGCTGCTCAGAGAAGAAGCATGTGAGAAGAAGGCCATACCTGGAGCCAGCAGCATCAAGAAGAGGACGGCAACAGAGAGGAGGCAAAAGATCTTCATGGCTGGAAGTTGGTGGGAATCCTGGAGGTACCAGAAGGCAAGTGGAAGAGCAGTTGACAGGGGAAGGAAAGGTCCCTCTACTTATAGGTGACTGAAAGACTGATGAAATCTTGCGGGATGCCAACCGTCGTTTGCAAGATGGATGTGGCAAGCTCTGAGCTTCATGTGCCAAGGACCAGCCAAAGACCACAGAATCATAGGTTTACAGAAGGGACACCAAGGATCATCAAGTCCATCCCCCTGCAGTGCAGGCATCACAGTTATAGCATCCCTGACAGGTGCCCATCCAACCTCTGCTCAAAATCTCCCTGCAAAGGAGAATCAGGCACCATTGAAGTTGTTCCACCGTTGACCAACTCAGAAAGTGCATCTGTTGGTTTCTGTCTTGCTTTCTCCTCACAGTGGCACAGCATCTTTTGATTTCCCCTGGCAAAGGAGTGCTCTTTGGATGGCGGTTTGCAGGCGGTACCAGAAACAGGACGCTGAGGGTGAACAAAACCCTTCCCACTAGCCCAACTCTAGACTCCATCATTGCTGGGCAGGCATGGGGCACCGAGGGTTCACAGGGTCCTCTCCTGCCCACACCAAGGGGGGAGCCTGCCTGGCCATGGCTGCTCCTGGCAGGTGCACCCCCCCAACACTGGCTGGGCGGCCATTTAGCATGGGGTCAGGGTCCTGGCAGCAAGGCCAGGCGGTGCTCCAATAGGCAGAGACGCCTAGCAGCAGGCAAGGCAGGGATCCTAGCATGGGGGCATGTGGCTCATGCCCCCTCAAAATCACGTGCCTGGGGCTACAGACCACCTGGCCCTCCCCATGATGAGCAGGAAGAAACAAGGTTGCCCCTGCCTCACAGTGACAGCCCTTCAGAGTTTCTTTCTGGATTAAAAGCAGGCATAAAGTGTGGGAGTGTTTGCGCATCTGATGGATGAAGAAGGGGAGCCCACCTCAGTTTTCCTGATGAAAAGAAAGAGAAGGCAGGAGAAACCAATCTTTGGGGCAGAAGGCTGTCCATGGCTACCAGCCAAGATGGCTACTATCTCCCTCCCCTGCAGGAGACAGGAGGCCTCTGAATATCAAGGTTGTTTTCTGTTGCTCCAGAGAAGCGGACACGGAGCAATGGATCCAAACTACAAGAAAGAAGATTCCACCTAAACATTAGGAAGAACTTCCTGACAGTAAGAGCTGTTCGACAGTGGAATTTGCTGCCAAGGAGTGTGGTGGAGTCTCCTTCTTTGGAGGTCTTTAAGCAGAGGCTTGACAACCATATGTCAGGAGTGCTCTGATGGTGTTTCCTGCTTGGCAGGGGGTTGGACTCGATGGCCCTTGTGGTCTCTTCCAACTCTATGATTTAATGATTCTATGACTGACCTATGCATTCAGCCTACAATAAAGAAAAGGAAGGAGATACAGGTCCTTGGGGCAGAAGGCTGTCCATGGCTACCAGCCAAGATGGCTACTATCTCCCTCCCCTGCAGGAGACAGGAGGCCTCTGAACATCATTGGCCCAGAATTGCAAGTGGGGAGAGTGGTGTTCACTCAGGTCCTCCTTGCAGGCTACCAATGGCCATGGATCGCATGGGATTCCCAGGAACTGGCATTAAGAAGCATTGTGGCCTCTCACTGCTGAGGCAGAGCATCTCCCTCATGGCCAGCAGCCCCTGGTCTGCATTTCAGGCCATCAGAGTCAATGGTCATCCCTGCCTCCTTGGCAAGGGAGTTCCAAAGTTTCACTACATGCTGCATGAAGAAGCCTTTGGTTTTATCTCTCCCAAATCTCCTGACACTCAGCTTCCCTTCATGTCTCCATTGCACTCCTATATGGACCCACTTTACCTCCCATTGGGAAACCCCTGCATCTCTTCCACCTTTTCCCCACACACAACCTGCCCCACTGATCCAGCTGCTTGTTAGCCTAGGCATTCTTGAGGGCAGTGTGTCAGCATCCGACAAATTACTCCATGTGTTCTCCATGATTCCACATCAGTTTGCTTAGAAAAACAAAGTCATTCGCATTTTGGGGTGAATTTTTTCCTAATACACAGGCATTCTTATGTAATCGTACCTAATATACCCTTTTTTTGCAAGGCAGTCCCCCCCCCATTCTTTCATGCTATTTTCACCCATGTGGGTACATATTACACCACTGTATGTGTTTTGGTGCACATTACTTGATTGAACTGCCTTGCGGAATTCATGGAAGGAGAACACTTAGAAGGACAGCCCTGTTCCAAATCATGCATACTTGCAGAAAGTACATGCAGTTGAGGTGCAAAACCTTTTTTGGGGAAATAGTCCAGCCCTGATGGAGGTGTTCTCATGCAGTCCATGCCCAAGAGCCAGGTTTACATTTCCGCTTGGGCTTGCTCACCACCCTCTCCAACTCAACAGGTTGTCCCCAACTTCACCAACTGAGTTCTGCATCCTCTCCTCTCCCTAGGCACCACCAAAATCTGGAGGCTATTATGCCACATTGCCCAATACCTTGGAATATATTTTGGGGATGCAATGGGTCTGTAGGGGGGAAGAGCAGGGATTCCCATCCAGAAGTGGAAGTCTGTGGCCTTGGATACAACCCCATCAGTGCCGCACCAAACTATTCTGTTGCCCTTCCATGCTCTTGAATATTCTCCAGATCCATTTTTCCAAGGGAAAGGCAAGCATAACCTTCTCTTTTTATGGACGATCTTTGAGCACTGTCCTGTTTGTGTGTGTGTGTGTGTGTGTGTGTGTGTGTGTGTGTGTGTGTTGTGCTGCTTTTATGGTATTTGTGTTGCTTGTTTGATGCTTCATTTTAATATTGTTGGGTACCCTGGTTTGAGCTTCTGTGCATTGTTGTGAATATATAGGGTGAACTAGTAGGTCAGGGCAATTCTTTTATATTTAATTTTGGAGATGGGGAGAAGTATCAGTGCCAGTCATGAGCTGTTGGTGTGGGCTGTGCCTGTAACATTTAGCAGGCAGTTGCTGGTCTTTTGCAATCTCCACAGAGATGGGCCCCAGGAGATGTCTTCAGCATCCTTTCCTAAGAGCCTGAAGTGCCAACCCAACACTTAAGGTGGGGAATCTGTGGTCACAGGACTAAGTCCCATTTCCCCACCTGGTCTTGCTTCAAGTTAACGGACAAGCGTTGCTCCATCAGATGCCCACAGGCAGCAAAGTTGGGTGAAGCAACTGCCAGATGCAGCACAGTGAAATTGGGAATTAGCCCAGATCAGAAGGCGATATCGGGGTGTGTGAAATGGTGGGAATGGGGAGCATCAATGCCAAAGAGATCCCTCTCCATGCAAACAGATTCAGGGATGGAGCTGGAGAAAATGGGGCAAATAACACATGTGAGGATTCCTTGAAAATATTGTTACACTGCACCCAAATTGCTGAGCATGGAGAAAACCCAGGAGTTTCAGTGTTTGCCCAGAGTTGGGTTTCCTTGAATGTGAGCGGAGATATAGATTTTTTTGAACATATAGAGAGAGCATGAGCATAAAATGGATGGGGTCACAGCATTAACACCCCCCAAATCATTGTTCTCAGTTCCTCACAGCTTTGGATGCCCTCCTCAGGAAACAGGAATCTGTGTCTCCAGCTTCCAGGCTGCTTCCAACTCAGCTCTCACACTCCACATGGGCTCAGGACCACAATATCTAAAGGATGGCCTCTCCCCATATGAACTGACCTTGACCTAGAGATCATCATCAGAAGCCCTTCTTCATGTGCCTCCTTTGCAAGAGACCTGGAAGGCCGCACTATGAGATGAGGTCTTTTCTGTGGTGGCTCCCTGATTGTGGATTGCTCTTCCCCAGGAAGCTCACTCTGCTCCTTTAGGTGCCAGGCAAATACATTCCTCTTCTTCCAGCCTTGGACTAATGGAAAAATGGTGTTTTACACTATGTGTGGGTGTTATTGTTTGTTTTCTTAATATGGTATGTATTTTGATGTTTTTGTATTTTAAACTGCTCTGTGGTTTATTCTTTTGAGATGCTGATGATGACACTCTAGTGGCCAGCGAAGGTCCTAGTCCTACAAAGAAAGTTGTCTGACTAGCTCAGCAAACTCCTCTTTGAGATTCTAACCCTCCCTGGAATCAGGACCCCAAGAATTGGAAGAGAGGAAGGGCACTCCCTGATCCACAGCAAGATGAGCAACCTTTTTGCCTAAGCCTCCAGGTGTCAACACCTCACAGGTTGTGGATGTGGAGCAGGATGCCAACTCACTTGCAAGCAAGAGGATAGGAGAGGGGAGGTAGCATCAGGGTTGGATTGGGGGCAGAGGTCCAGGGCTCCACTTAGCAAAAAGAGGAGGAGGAACCCCAGATCCAGGAGGGCTGGCTGAACCACATTTTGAGGGGCTCACTTGCCTTTTCCCCTCTGCTTGCTTCTTATCTGAAGCAACAATTGCTTCTGTGTGCAGACTTTAAAATATTTTCCAGCTGTGGACATTTCCTGGCTCAGGAGCTAACAGAGGCATTTATTGCTAGTTGCCATAGTGCAATTCCCACTTCCTTTTGGTCAGCATCCTAAACTCCACTGTGAGCAATCCAGGAAAAGCATTGGCATGCAGGGGATATTGGAATTGAGCCCATGGTGGTATGATGGGATGGAAGCAGGGAGGGAGGGGAAGGAGAGCATCACCTGAACCAAACCTGGCGGCTTAGGTGAGTGTCACTCAGATGATGGGGAGGAGGAGTTCACCTGAGGGGTCTCACCTGTCTTGGATGAAAATGAGGCTTTGGACATCCATCAGCACCCCCTCCCTTAAGGAGACAAGGATGAGGAGCCTGGAGTTCTGCAGATAATGTTGAGGACAAACAATGGTGACTCTGTGTTTTTGTGTTTGTATGTGTGACACATCGGATAGTAGAGTCTGACCCCCAAAATCCCCCCTCCCCACACATGTTTTCACAACAGATTTTTCCAATGTTTGCATTTATAACTCACCTTAATGGCAACATAATAGGCCAATTGAACCCCCAAAACGAGGCCTCCCACACCATTTTCGGCATCTCCCCCCCAAGACGTTGACATCTCCAATT